CGGGACTTCAGCGATACACGGGAAGTGTATGGCCTAAGCGTGCCCGGGCAGTGTTATCGCCATTACAAGGCGCGTCACCTCGATTAACTGCTTAAACAAATACTGCATGGAATGTCTACTACACAAAGAAACCTTAATTCTCTACACTATCTAGTCGAAACATTAAATAGAAATACAGCCTATCATAGACACTAAATACGAATATCCTATTTCAACCTAACCGTCGCTACCCTAACGTTACCTCGTCGTAATGTTTCCGTCTTGTCTCCCTCTGTCCACCAGCACACAACCGTCGTACACAACTGTCCGCACACAACTCCCCTCAAACCCGCTTGGACAAAGCCTTTTGTATTTCCTCTGAGTTCACGGCTTAATCCGCAGCACTCCGTGTCAGCTGAGTGAACTCGACATGGCCTCTAAACTGGGCCCGGCTTATTGCCTGGACAAGCTGTCCGTTCCCCTACTGAGTTGTACTGCAGGTCAACTCGTACAAACGTGATGATTCACTATAGGACATCTGTTGTGCTTTCCATAGACGAACTGGCCTCTGACAGTATGCTAACAGTACCTGTTGCATCCTGATTATAAATCGGCTAAGTATTCCCTGCAATCTTTAATGTCTTCCTCACCCCTCCGCACATTCCTGACTGAATTAGACTGTTAATTTATCGTTCCTTGGTCTGTTCCGTCGCACGGTCCACTTGATCCCGGATAGCCTTCTCCACTTCCACTTTATCATAACTTAGCTCATCACCAAGCGAAGCAAGCCAGTAGGACGACAGTTTCTGTTTTCCAAAGCATGATCTGTGAGTGCGTTCCAAAGACCACATGTTAGGCTGTGTTGCTCTCAAGTCCTCAAAAAGCTACTGTTACCGCCTCCACCTCTATTCTAATGCTGGATATTGTGACAGTATACGCGAGACTGTGGTTTCAAACAGTGTTCATTTACCTTAGCAATAAAACCCCACCTACTCTTTTTACCTCTCACTACTGACCCACGTGTGTAAATAACCATGTTTTCAAATGGGACAGCGAAGACTATCTTCTGTGATTTCAATCAGTAAACAGTTTATGGCCCGACCCTCCTGAAGTGATGTTGGAACCTCTATTATTTAACTAACATAGGCTCGTACTTCCACGGAGTAACGAGAATACCTTGGACAGATGAAAAGAGCAATGAAGATGAGAAAAAAAAAACAAATAACGGACTCGTGAAGATAACCTATTGCTTACATCAGAAGGAGACAATCTACCTTCTTTAGAAGAAGAAAAAGAAAGCTTGTAGCGAACGAATTAATGACTTTGCTGACTGTATGTTCAGCTCAGTCTCGACTTTAATGACTTTACTGACGATATATTCAGCTCAGTCTCGACTTTAATGACTTTACTGACGATATATTCAGCTCAGTCTCGACTTTAATGACCTTACTGGCGGTATATTCAGTTGACTTTAATAATTTACAGTTCAATCTCGACATTAATGACTTTACTGGCGATATATTCAGCTCAGTCTCGACTTTGATGATCTTACTAAAGGTATATTCAGTTAAATCTCGACTTTAATAAATTACAGTTCAATCTCGACATTATTGACTTTACTGACGGTATATTCAGCTCAGTCTCAACTTTAATGACTTTACTGACGGTATATTCAGCTCTGTCTCGACATTAATGACTTCACTGACGGTATGTTCAGTTCAATCACTACTTTAATGACTTTACAGTTCAATTTCAACATTATTGACGTTACTGACGGTATATTCAGCTCTGTCTCGAAATTAATGATTTCACTGACGGTATGTTCAGTTGAATCAGTACTTTAATGACTTTACTGACAGTATATTCTGCTCAGTCTCGACAAGTTGCGAGCCTGTCTCCAGCACATAAGCATCTACATGGCCAATCAATCGATCAATCAGGGGCCATCTCCTCAGTGAAGGTTTCCCCTCCCCCCACCCCCTCTTTCCCCCACTTATATCAGTACCTGCTTCTCTCACTCGACCTTTCCCTCCAGAATGTTTTTTAAAAGAACGTTACTAATTTTAATTTGGCCCACAAATTTCGGTTGTCATGGTTGAGTCCTCAGAAAATGTTACTTTGCTTGTGCAAAAGTTTAAGGTTACTCGGTGTAAAATTAGTTCAATTCGCGGCTGCTTTTCCCGATTGGGGTTAAGTCCTAGCTGCTGTGTTCAAAATGTGTCCCTAGTGGCATTAAGACATCTCTCTTGTGCAAAAAGTAAACTGATCCGCATTGTGAGTGGCAATATTTTATGTTTTCTTTAATTCCATGGCGGGGGGCAGGTGAGAAACATGAAACTAAATCATTTGACAATGTTTTCAAGCGTGCTGGCACAAGTGCACTGGAAGAATCATTTAAAAATCAATGTGCGAAAAAAAAAAAAAAACGGTCAACAGTTTGACAAAAGATATTGTGTTAGTGTAGAAACAGTTCAGATGATTGTCAGTAAGTTGCAAAATTTATGATAATAATAATCATCATCATAATCATCATTATCACCATCATCATTCTGTGACTATATATGTCACATAGGGCTAGCAGTGGCGTTCCCAGTTCCATTCTGTCCTGAGCAATCCTGTCACAATCATGGACCGAAGCCAGTCCAGAACCGTTGACCTTTCTCTGTACCGTTGATCTGAAGGTGTCTCTTGGATATCCACCTTTGCTCAGTCCATTTGTTTCCTATTTCTATGGCTGTTTAGTGATTCTTCCTCTATGTTTAATGGTATTATTAATGTGTTGACATATTTGTGTGTGTGTGTGTGTGTGTGTGTGTGTGTGTGTGTGTGTGTGATAAAAAAAGTTGCGGGAAAATTTTCTTTTTTTCTGTCTTTTTTTTTTTAAAGTTTATCCCGTTTAATGTTTATTAATCTCTTTACGTATTTTAATCTAATGTGTTTACCTTTCGTTAAATATCTGTAATTATTCTCGAAATTTATCTGACATATGTTAATACTTTAAGCTTCATATTGTGCGAATTTCTGTTGCAAAAAAATTTGTATACGACATTGTAGCCGCCCACGCCCAACCCTCCTTCTTTCGCTTCCAGGGTTTGGCACCGACAGTGGCGTGACAAGTATACAATGAGATGTTTCTTCTTCTTCTCTTTTTCGTCTTCACTTTCACTTTACCGCTTCAGGTGTCGAGGGAGATGTGAAGTTCTGCTTCATGCTCTTCTGGCTGCTTTAACTTTAAGCAGATTGTGATGTTGCAGAGTTTCTATGATGTTATCTTTCCATTTATTCTTGGTCTACCCCGCACTGAAGATGACTTTTCTCTTACGACTAATTTCCCGTTTTTATCTCACCTACTCTTAACTCCAGTCTTTCTCATGCATTTTATTTCCATAGATAGTAATTTTCTTGTATATTCTTGTATAGTCACGAACTGGTACATATTGCAGAACATCGCAGATTGTGGAGAGGTATGATCGCCAACTCAGTAAGGCACCTGATGATGATGATGATGAATCTGTTGTGGATGACCACGTTTGGTACTGCTAACATGGGGTTGGAATGATGAAGCTTTGAATGAGATGCTTCTGTATGTTGATTCGAATTATCTTATGTAAGACGAGGGTAAACTGTCTCAACTCCATATTTACTCTACTGCATCGAATATTAATTTCTTCGCCTAATTTACAATGTGAAAGCCGCCGTGGTGTAGCGGCTAGACGCTCGCCTGCGTATCGGAATGTCGCTGGTTCTGGTCCTGACAACGCGGAACTTTGCAACAACAACAAAAACATGACCCCTGGCTCCCAGGTCGACCTAATTTTAAATAGGTACCGGGTGAAGTCCGAGGAAGTAAAGGCTCATGGTGTGATGTTGACCACATGACTCACCAAGAACTAATTCGTCTCTTTAATATAGGTCTACCCTATATGTCATTTAGGCCTCTAGGCCTGAAATACAAAGGGCCCTTTACATCTGTTTGATTTACGATGAAAATCTTTTTCTGAATGTCCATGTCGTGTGGTGTTGACAGTCATGTCTAGCCACAACTTTCTGTCTCGTGTACTTTCAGTCCACTCTGACACAGAGAATCTGTTACGCCATGATGTCAAACTGAACAGTATCTGTTCTCTCGGTCTCCCTCTGCCTCTCTTTCCCTCCAACTTTCCTTCTGTCACGATGTACTACAGTTTTCTCCTTCTCATCACATGACCAGAGAATGTTGATGGTCTCTTTCCGATGTAGTCACTCAGTTTTTTTCGTCAGTCAGTTTCTTTCAAATCATTAATAATCTTTTTATCTGTCCAGAGTATTTTCATCATTCGTCTACAAAATCCCATCTCCGCAGCTTCCAAACAGGTGTTCACCAATATACTTTTGTCCGAAACACTAAAACACAGATAGAAAGAGAAATGCTGACCTCACAAATCATTGCAGACTGAGTAGAATATAAATAGAAGGATAGAAAGAGTAAATGAAAGACTGGAATAAAAGAAACAATTAAAACAGAGCATAAAAGAACGGACGAAAGAAAGAACAGAGAACAAAAACGACAGAAAGAAAAAGAAAGAAAAAAAGAAAGAAAGTAAGAAAAATTAGGTTGAAGGAAAGAAGGACAGGAGGGGGTGGGGTTGGGGGGGGGGAGAATGAAAGACAGAAAGACACACATGATTAGAATGAAAGACAGAAAGACACACATGATTAATTCATGCATTCTATATCAGAAGTTGCATTTTTATTGCTGCTACTCGTCGCTGTCAGAACTTTTGAAACGTCTATTTGTTTCATTTATTTACAGGCTTTTATGAACCAATGTGTAGCCCTGACAACGCATTCCTGCTCCAGATATACGACATACAGTTCGAATAAGCGATGAGGATATGGCAGCCTCATACGATCCCCGATAATTCAGTGTTGAGAATGCTCAACAAATAAAACGCATGCTTTCCTGCGACATAACCGTGAACATCTGAAGCTACAATGTGAATACCTTGAAGCATTACATTAGATTACACACACAAATCACC